CATGAACAGATAACATGTCACCTGTCACGAATAGCTAGCACCACTTACATATTTTTTTGGTTATCGGGATATATCGGGGATAAGTAGTAAAATCGGAGTGTCATATCGAATGGTGAACATTTATAATATAATGTCATAAAATGTAATCTAAGCACACTTACTGAAATGTAAACATACCAAAACGCCTTCGAAAGAGGACTCAGAATAATCGAGCAATTGAACTTGAGGAGAGAGCAAAGGAGGTGAAGATAAACTAGGACTGGTTGCTCTAAACGCAACGGGATACAATGAGTCGGATTGGTGGTTTTGATTTTATTTAGGGGGCATCGTGTTCGGGTTTGAAAATTAAGGGTTTTAGCACCCAAAAGCCAACCAATAGTCGGGGTGTTCTTTTTGACAAAATCACCCTATAAAAAGCGACCTATTGATCGGATTTTCACCGATATATCAGAGGTAATTGGTGAAAAATGATAACCTATTTAATTTTCTAGAAATCGTATCAGCAGTGGTCCAAACTCTATATATCGGCGATATATCGATAACATTGGCCTATTTTTAAAATACTGCCCGTCCCTAATAATTGTGAAAGGGCTTGAAAATTATTTTACAACTTGGAAGTAGGAAATTTAAAATTTGCATCTCTCAAACATTCAAAAAGATTATGTTTGGAGAAACATAGGCACTACTAGTAGAATGCAATCAAGAATAAGTACTACAGATTTAAGTAAAACATAAAAGTAACAACTTACACAAACAATAGAGTATATAGGATAATTGACAGAAACATGCAACAATTTAACCAAACAAAGCCAACCTTAATTCGTTAAGAAACTTATAACACAGAAACCAGTCCGTCCACAAAAAAATAGATAAATAAATAAATAAAAGAGCATATCCAGAAATGTAGCTCAATAGTTATCCAAGTGGCAAATCATGTTCCATGCGCAAATCCAAGAAATTGTCCATACAACAATAACAACAACAAAGCTTTTATACCAACTTTTTGGAGAGTCGGCTACATAAATCATATTTCCATTCATTCTATTATGGGTCAACTCCTCCGCTAAGTTAATTATAAGCACATCCTTCATAATTGCTTCTGACGGAGTTCTTTTAAGTCTACCTCTAGTGCTCTTTGCCCGCATTAACTATAATCTTATCACCACTACTAATTGGTGCATTTAGTGGCTTCCGTCATACATGTCCAAACCATGTCAATCAATTCTCTCATTTTATCTTCTACAGAAGCAGCCTCCAATCTCCGACGAACGCACTAATTTTTTTGATCCTATCTTTTAGAACTCGAAGAAATTGGCCATGCACACTATGAATTCATTGAAAATCTCATGCTATAAACCAAAAAGAAAAAATATTCATGCAACCAGGTACAATGTCAACAAGTCCATATCCGAAATTTCAACATTGATCCCTGCAATTAGGTATATTTAAATCAACCCACCAAACCCTAACAACAATAAAAAGTTACCATCTTTCAAAAACAATTAAGCACGCACAAATTCTGCCAATCATCAAACAAACTGAAATCCCAATTCGAATCCAACAAAAATTCAACCTTTCATAAATACCCCTCATGAAGAAACATCCACATTACACATTACACCCAAAAACAAAACAAAACAAAACAAAACAAAACCTATATTAATAACATCAAAAATAAACAAGAAACGTTCGATACCAAAACCCTAGATTTCAATGGTTAGAGGAGACCGATTCCGATTCCGATTCCGATTCCGATTCATTTTGCCTGGCTTAACCCTGTGTGCCGTGTATTTACACCGAAACACCCCCGACACGAAACGCCCGATCCGCTACGTGATCGGAGAGAAGAACGCCGAGCCCTCGAACGCCATTGAAGAGAGAGAAAGTGGAGAGAGAAAGAGAGCTTTGGAGAGATCGGGGCTTTTTTCGGGGGGCGGTTTGGGTTTTATTGCAAAATCTTTATTTTTATTTTTATTTTTTTTGTTTTTATTTTATTTTCTCGCTCTTTTGGGTTGTCGTTCCCGCTTCTGTCTCTAATGCTTGTTGGGGAGAGGGGAGCTGGGCGGTTTTGAAAGAGGTTATTTACGGAAATGCCATTCGTATTTTTCTTTTCGTTTTTATTTATTTTCGTTTGTTTGTTTTTTAAACTTTGTTTTATTACTTGTTTCTTTTGGTGTGTAATAAGTGCACTGTGTACCTTGTTGGATTATTCGAATCAAGCGAATGTTTTTTAAGAGAGCATTCGGTTGTTGGCTTGTATGCACTTTTTCTTTCTTTCTCATTTTCTATTTTTTTCGTTCCGTATTAGCAAGACGAATATGCAAAGTTTATCAGCATACAATTATGTTTTCTGGTGTTATTCATGGAAGGATACGGGGCACTTCAGAAATTTTTATCATCTTCTATATGATTGAAAACATTATATTTCCCATAAGATTGGTATTCGAATTGATTTCCTAATATTCTTCGATTAGAAATCTATATCCCTCTTGATGTTCATGAAGCTAGAAAGTGTCTACGTATTTGATGATCAATAGTGCATATAGCACATTTTAAAATGTAAAATTGTTTCCTATTACACCTCATTTGATATGCAGGAATCAAATCAAGTGGGAATAAAATGGAGTAAAGAATAGAATTGAATGTAACTAATGTAGGAATGGATTGCACATTCTTATTTCGTATTTGGGAGCGATTAGAGAATGAAGTGCGAATGACAATGTCAATCGCATTCCCACGTTTG